AAAAGGGAACCCCTTCCAAAAAAAAAAAAAAAAAAAAAAAAAAAAAAAAGTAACCCTAACAAACTATTGAGCAATTAAAGTATGAAATGATAAACTTTTATACATATATATATATGTATACACACACACATACACACACACACACATACATATATACATACTACTTCAGGGAAATGAGACTGGATTGAAAGAATAACAAGAATGTCAACTAAGAAAATACACAGAAATTCCAAGGCTAACCTAGTGTTTTCCAGGGGAACACATTAAAAAATCCAGTTTCCAGGTGACTGGCTGCAATCTTAGAAACTGCCACACTAGCATGAAGATTCCAGAAATTTTACATGAACTACTAGTGACAGTGAAGGTATCTTTTAAGTAGTTAAGAGGCAAAAAAAGGCTAGCAATCATCTTCATCCTCAAAACTACGGGAGTGTCTGGGGGATTAGACATATAATCAGCACAGGTATCCCTCTTCACCAAATATTTCAGCCTAGAACATCAAAAACATTGAATGGCTAGGTCACTCACTATACAGAGCACGTCTTAACTCTGTAAAATGTTATTAATACAAAAAGAACTATTTTAAAGGCATGTCAGTGAACCACACTACTTATCAAAAATAGTTATTTCAAATTAAGCACACTACTTTTTATACTTCTCTGCTTCCTTTCAGCTTTCAAGATACTGTTACCGAATGAACGTATACATTTAATTTTCAGGGTGCGTCCTTCCTTTCCAGTCGAACCGTGGCCACATTTTTTTTAAGAGTTCAAACGCATCGATACCTAGCACTCGTAATTCGGCCTTTTTGCAACCTGCTTAATTTTAAAAGTTCTAATAAGATGTGTTCTCACTGGAGACGAAAAACTACCTTATAAGGCTATAAAACACGGAAAGCAGGAAGCGGCTTTGACAAAACTAAGGAAGTTGCAGCGCGCTTGCTCACTGGGGGACTTTTTTTGAGAAGAGCGGTAACCCCATGAGAAATCTCTCTGGAACTGAAATGTGTGACTTGGTTCGCCCAGCGGCCGGAGCGGGCCGAGCCTGGGAGTGGGGTGGAAAAAGAGGATGCGCGTGGGTCCCCATTCTGGGTTCCCATTTTCACAGCCTGGTTCTTCCCTCTCCCCACCCACACGCCCGGTGGATCGAGTGTTGTCACAGCGATCTTGCAAAACCTGCAAGGACCGCTTCTCTTTTTTTCTTTTTTTAAACTCGATCCTGTGCCAGGCAGGTCCCTTGGGGGTCCTAAGACCACAGGCAGGAAGGGGAGAGCAGCCAAGAAGGACAGGACAAGGAAGCCAGGTGGGCCGGGCGGCCTTCTCAGGAGCCAAGGGCCTGGAAGGGTCCTGGTCCTAGCAGGCAGAGGCCACCCGACCTGGGAGACTGCCGGCCCCACCCCTCGCCGGCCAGGCCTGCTCATCCCATTCATCTCCCTCCTCCCGCCATCTTCCCGTCCCCAGCCTCAGTTTCCCTACCCAAAGCCCCGCCGTACCCGGTGCCACAGTCCACCACACAAGCCGGCAGCCGTCCCGCCATCTTCCACCGCGCCCACCGCCGCCGTCCGCTCCGTGCTGCTCGAGGCCGGGGATGGAGCCGGGAGCTAGCTGACCATGCACGGCCCGGGCCGCCCTCGGTCCAAAGGAGGGAGGGAGGGAGCTGTGGGAAGCCCAAGCAGCAGCGAGCGAGCAGCAGCCGAGCACTTCCGCAAGCCCGGCAGGCAGGCAGGCCGCCGGCAGGCTGTCCCCGCCCTGCCCCGCCAAGGCCTCCTCCTCCCCCTCACTCTCCGCCCTCCTCCTCACTCCCGCCCCCACCCTACAACTTCTCTTCAAGCCGCCTTTCCCCGGGAAGCCAAGATGGCCGCCACTGCCGACGCCCCGGCCAGGCCCGGACCCAGGCCGCGAACGCGCCCACTTCCGGTTCCGGGTGGGAGGGGCGAATGCGCATGCGCCATGGGGTGCGGCCCTCAGTGTATTTGGCGTTTTCAGCAGGGTTGAAACTCAGAAATCTGGCCGAGTCAGTTTTTCTGCTGGAGCGGCAGCGCAGGCGCAGAGACGTGCAGACGCGGGCCACCACTCCCGTCCAGACTTTTGTGAAATCCACTTCGCATTTTCAGTCCCGTGAGGCAGCTTTTAGCTTTGTGTGAGTGTGTGTGTGTGTGTATGTGTGTGTGTATGTGTGTGTCCGTGTGTCCATGTCCATGCCCATGTCCACCCTTAGGGTTTCAGTTACGTGCACCCTTTCTTATTATTTGAATGGAAAAGAGCCATAGGAGAACCTGGTGAGCATTCCCAATAGCAATGAACAAAGGCGTGGTCCTCGACCTTTGGGCCCAGGTTTACATCAGTTACTTTGTAGGCTGTAGGCCCCGCAAGCCTTAGGCCTGTGCTTTCATGAAAGACCAGTGTCCCAGAGATTGGGGCATGTTCTTATATACTCTGTACAAATAGGCCATTATTCAGGCTTTGGGAGTTGTGACAGACTTCCTTCTGGAGTAGGGGGGGTTCTACCTTGACTTCAAGAAAGGCTAGCGTTGTGCTGGAGAGATGACTCTGTAAGTAAAAGTGCTTGTCACTAAGCCTGAAGACCTGAGTTAATTTCTGGGACCCACATGGTGGAAGGAGAGAACCAACTCCTCCCAGTTGTCCTCAGACACACACACACACAGAATAAATATTTTTTTTTAATTAAAACGAGGAAGGCTAGCATCCCAGAGGTGATGTTCTACATAATATGCTCAGCACAAGTAGGCCTTTATTCGGGATTCTGGAGTGACAGACTAACTTCTGGAGTAGTGAGATTCTACCGTGTCTTCAAGAACTGCCAGCATCCCAGAGGTTGTGTTCTATATAATACATTCTACACAAATAAAGCTGTATTTGGGGCCTGGGGTGGTTGATAGACTTTCTTCTGCAATAGTAAGATTCTATGATAAGCATAGCACCAGCATTTCAAGGTGGAAATAAAAAGGGAAAAGGATATGTTTTTGTTGTTGTAGATTTGAAACTAAAGCAATGTTTTTAAAACTTGAATGTGCATCTGAACTCCTCAGAAAGCTTGTTAAAAAGCCCTGCTGGGTCATACCCCCAGGGGTTTCTGATTAGTCTGTCTGTAGTGCAGCCAGAGAATCTGTATCTCTCACAAGCAGGAACCCGGAATGTTAATAGCTTTGCTCTCCAGCAGCTTATTGTTTTTAATAGAATTTGTATTTATTTCTTTGACAGTTTCATACATATAAACAATGTATTGTGATCATATCCACCCCCCAACTTTCCCCTCCCGCTCCCTCCAGGCACTCCAACATATCCCCTTTCCCACTTCATGACCTCTTTTTTTGTTGATAACCCCCTGAGCCTAGTGCTGCCTGCCAATTAGTGCTGCCTGTTGGAATGTTGACTGGTCTTTTTGGCTTGCTCTTGTGCAGGTCTTATGCAAGTAAGCATAGCTGCAGTGAGTTCATAAGTACAATGACCATGACATGTCCACAAGACAGTATCTCACAGCACTCCTTTCCATCCTTCAAGTCTTACATTCTTTCTGTCCCCTCTTCTGTGATGTTCCCTCAGTCATGAAGAAGGGACGAGGATTAATATGGATGCACAACTTAGATCTAAGGACTTAATAGTCATTTAGACTCAGCACTTTGACCAGGTGTGAGTCTCTATGTTAACTGCTGAACTGAGAAGTTTCTCTGGCCAGGGCTGAAAGCTACACTAATCTATGTGTATAAACCTAAATATTTAGAAGACACTTTGATAGCATGTGCATTTAGCAATACGACAGTGGTAGGTTTCCCCTTAAGTGTCTACAACCTTCAGAACCATGGGCTTTGGGCCAGGTTTTTAGCACCAAACATGAATTCCTTCCTATGGAGGCAGGCCTCAAATCCAAACCAAAAGTGATTGGTCACCCCCATAACCTTTTTGCCACCACCATAAGAGTAGACATAGTTTTGAACAGGTTTATCTTTTCATAAACCAACCTAGGTTTGCTTATATAACACTATGATAAGAATATACTAAGAAACAATGTCCTATTCAACATAGAACATCACATAATGAGGTCTTAAACTGACCTGGGGATCAGAATATTGTTTTATCATTATTATTATTATTATTCATTTGACAGAAAAAAATAGTTCTCACCTGCTCTATATGCAGAGACTGCTGACCTTAAATATAGTGGAGTACAGAACAGATATCTTTATCTGACCTCAGAGTTTTACAGATAAGAAACAAGTTGTATTAAGAGCAATAAAAAAGTACTCAGGACTGAAAAATAGGGGAGAGGAGTGGGAGAATAGGAAGGAGGTGAAAGGTGAAGTTTCTCTGTCCAAATAGCACTTGAAAGTTAAACCTCCAGGAGCTAGAGGAAGAAAGAAAAGGAAGACCCCAAGAAAAGGAAGTAACCAGTTCCCAGGACCTAACCTGAAGGGGTCATCGGGGAGAGGAGTTTGGGTTCTTCTCCAAGTGGAAGGAAGAGCTAGGTATTTAAAATGAAAATAACCAAAAAAAAAAAAAAATGCAGTGGAAAATGAAGCCTGAGAGACAAGGATGAATCAGTGCAGGAGTTTGTAGAGTCCTCTAAGCATCTTAAAGTTGATCCTAAAGCAACTTTTAAATCATCAAAGGAATGTGGGCAAAAAATAATTGTTACAGTTGTGTGAACAAAAGTTCCTAGAAAGAAGGCCAGGCATGATGGCACATGACTTTAATCCCAGCACTTGGTAGGCAGAGGCAGACAGTTTACATAGGAAGTTCCAGGCCAGCTGAGGCTATAGGGAGACCCTGTCTCAAAACAAAGTTTCTGCAAAAAAAAAACTGCACCTTATCCTGAACCTTCTGCAAGGTTGATTAACTGATTAGAATTTCACTGACTGTGGAGATGTTGGAATATTAAAGGTCCAGAGTCTAATTATAATTTATTTCAGCTGTTGTTAGCCACCTTGCTAGCCAATTCTTGCCCACCTCTATGTCTGACTTAAGATCTTGTGACAAACAGGTAAAACCTTTTGGAAGGTATTAACTAAAGAGACCACTAACTTGGGGCTAGAGACAGCTCAGCAGTTAAGAGCACTTGCTGCTCTTCCAGAGAACCTGAGTCAGTTTCTAGCACCATCTTCAGGTGCTTTACAACCACCTGTAACTCCAGCTCTAGGGGATCCAAAACTTCTATGTCCTCAGTGCCTGAGAACACATGTGTGGCATATACAGACACACATACACATAAAAATAAACCTTAACAAAAGATTTCTGGCTTCCACCAACTTTTAAAGGACTAAGAGTGTCTTAGTCTGAGGCCTATAGCAGAGATTTCCTTGCTTTGCTGGAAAACTACCTACCTGATATTTCCACCAGTGTGTTTAAAAAGCATCTTTATTTATGGCTTACTTTGTTCTGCTCCTATAAAAACTTCATGAAACTGTTACTACATTGGAATATGGAATTTGGGGTAACCTGAATCTGTATTTCTGGGCCATGTTCACTTATTCTGGATTCCAGAATACACTCTCTCTTATCCCAAAAGGGATGAGAATTGTGTTTTTCACATTGGCAACTGTATTGTTGAGGTCTGATCCAGTAGAATCCAGAGTAAATACATTGTGTGGTAGAGTTCAGGGTTAGAAACAGTGAGAGCCAGCCTTCAGATGGTCTTTGCTATGTACAGAACAGCCTCAGGAAGGGGCAACAGCCACAATTGGTATGGAGCCTATCCACAGCTGTTCACACCAAATAACCCTAAGGGAAAGCTTTTCTGAGAATTTGGCCTCAAAAACTTCAAGCAGAAGTGGTTCTTCTCTCAGATGCATTGCCGTTGGTTTCCCCCATGGGCAAGAATTTTTTTTTTTTTTGTCACCACTTCCTTTATCATGTATGTACTTAGGGTCATCTGGGAGGCAAGTGCTTGAAGACTACCTTGGATGGAAGAGAGAGTTGTGGCTTGATACAAACAGAATGATTGGTTCTTTTTAGCAGTTTATAGTTAAGTCAGAAATGAAAGATCCTACCAAAGAGCTCCCAAGGATGGTTCAGGACCTTGAGAAAGTGTCACTGAGGGGACCTCAGACTGGTGGTCCCCAAGATGACTGCCTAGCACTCTGGTCTTGTGCAGTTGTCAGTAGTTATAAGAGCCAGAAACCTTTGTCTGTTTAAGATAGGGTCTCATTATCCCAGACTGGCCACTGACTCACTGTGTAGTGAAGGGTGACCTTGAATTTATGATCCTCCTTGCCTCCACCTTACCACTGCTGGGATTACAGGTGTATGCCACCACATGCTTGGTTTGTGTGGTGGTGAGGATTGAGCACAGAGCTTCATGTATGCTAGATAAATACTCTACCTACTTGAACTAATCCCCAGTCAGTCCAAGGATCAGAAATTTGAGTGCTTCCAGTTCTGGTCTGGTATGTGATGGGTGATGTGGGCCATGGGGATGATGTGGCAACATGTCCACACCCAACAGAACACAGTAGATAAATGTTACTGGGTGGGAATGCAGGACTGCTGTTGCCAGAGCCTTCCCCCCAAGAGAAATTTGAAATCTGTTTTTCATTGTTAAGTGTTATGGTTTAAATATATTCCCAAAGTGGACATGCTGAAATTAAAGTCCCCGTGTAGCAGTGTTAAGAGGTGCAACTTCAAATGGGTGATTATGATTCAAAGGCTCTGCCTTAATGAATGGATTTAACACCATTGTCTTAGAGTGGGTTTCTTTATTTTATTGTAATTTATTTTATTTTATTTTTTGTTTGCTTGTTTGTTTTGTTTT